GCTAACGATTACTATTGAAGTCCTTCCCACGGGCTCAGCCGGATCCTACCAGTCAAAAAAGGTTTCAGGTGTGTCACTTGGCCAGAGTCACCCACCAGGGCCTGGATGTCAAGGAGTTAGGATCTGTTGGTGGGAGGGGACTCCCACCCAAAGCATGCTTCACAGATCTTTGAGCACTTGTAGTGCTAACTTAGATCTCTGTGACTTTTTAGCTGACAGTATGCTTTCCTTACCAAGCATATGGCTTATTGTCTCCATTTAAAAGGTGAGGAAACAACCCAGAGCTGGGACCTGCCCCGTCCAACGTCAGCACGAGTGTTGAGATTGCCCCTTGTACTTGGCCCAAGGCCGAGTGTTGTGTTTTCTGTTGTCCCGTGGAGGCTGTGGGTTTGAAGCTGTGCAGTGAGGACAAAGATGAAAAAGCCAGGGCCTCCATCATGAAGGAGGAATTGCTCTGTGTTTTAGGGGTTGTATGCAGCAAATTCTAGAGTTTTCTCCCCCATGATTTCCCTGTTAGCTGTTTTTCTATTTCTGTCTGAACTATAAGCATGTATTTGAAAAATGTAACTCATTTTAAGTACTGATTTCTGGAAAGCCCCAGTGGCCAGCCCAGCCTGGTTAGGTTTGAGCACAGGGAAGGAGAGGCAGATGAATATGAGCAGGGGGACCATGGCAGCCAGGGGAGGCATGGTGGCTGGCACCAGCGGGGACAGACTGGCTCCGCGGCCCTTTGGATCCTGGGAGAACAGCAAAGCTGGTGGCCCCTTGCCCTGCCACTGTCTTTCCACAAAGCCAGCCACCTTCGGGCTAGGGGCCGAGCATCAGGCCCCTCCATCCTCCTGCGAAGGTTGGTTCTAAAGGGTTTTGATGCTGTACAGGGTGGTTTGGTTTTTTTCCATCAGTTCTTTGTGCCTTTTTGCAGCTTCTCCATAGACAAGCTTAGCTTTTCATAACACACATAGCTTTGGAAGAGAAGTCAGTCTTCCAGAGATATTAGGCCCTAAGTTCTCACGCAACTTCAGTACCCAAGGCATCCAAAAACCAAACTCCTCATGAGTACCTCCACCCCCCCCCAAGGGAATTGACCACCTCCCTCTGTTTGATGTTGTGCTTTGTCAGGTCAGCTGCCAGGCCCCCTGGTCCCCTTGGGGACACAGAGAGGAAGGGATAGGCACGCACCTAGATGTCCTGCCTAAGAGGAGGCTTTGGATGATCCAAGGAGGAAAGCTGAGATCTCCTTGAGAGGATGGGAAGGGGCCCTTGGGAAGAGGGAAAGAGCCAGCCAAGCCTGGGGGACCTAATTGTTATATGTCAGTTTCCTATGGGAAGCTAGGTGGCTTAGTGTATAGAGTGCTAGACCTGGAGTCCGGAAGACCTGAATTCAAATCCAGCTGAGACACTAGCTGTGTGACCCTGCACAAGTCACTTAACCCTATTTGCCTCAGTTTCCTCATGTGTCAAATGAGCTGGAGAAGGAAATGGCAAACCACTCCAGTAGTTCTCCCTAGAAAATCCCAGATGGGATCATGAAGAGTCAGATACGGTTGAGCAACAACATATATTGAAGCAGCCAGGAGATGGAGTTTTGGTCTGAAAGCAAGTCACTGAGGTACACGGTAGGTGGAAATAGAGGATGGTCAATTTGACATGCCCCTTCCAGAAGAATGGCATTAATCGACTTGATGGGGGGGGGGAGGATGTAGCAGATGGGGTGAGCTACCTGGGTGGAAGGCTTCTTGGACACGTTCTGGGCCCTGTCAGTGTTTATCAAATGGACTAATTGCTAATCAGCTGTACTGGGCTGCTCCAAAGATGAGTCCCATAGGGGCTGGGCCCTGGGCTCTGGCCCCAGGGTGCTGAGCTCTGCTCAGCTGGGGGAGGATCACTTATGTCAGATAGGCCTTCCTAACCTTCTTTGTGACATGGGCCCCTTTGATAGTCTGCTGAAGCCTGTGGGTCTCTTCTGACAAGAGTATATAAAATAAGAAACATACAATTACAAGGGAAACCAGTTATATTGAAATGCCCTTATCAGAGAAGCGATTATGAAAAGGTCTAGACCCCAGGTTAAGAACCTGACTTTACAAAGAACTTGAGATTCTATAAGTTGATCCTTAAAATCTTCTGGGTCAAGGGATTGTTCTTAAAGTAAACCACAATTATTTTCAACCAAAAAGGGACTTTTACTTCTGCCTTTGCCTCAGGCTTTAAGTATGGACTTGAAATGAAAGTCCTTTCACTTCCTACTTTTGTGTCCCTGGGCTAGTGCCTTGGCCTCCAGACTGCATCTTGGGAATCCCCAGCCCCATTTATTTAGCTTTTGTAAGTTTGGAGAGTGAGCGTGCTGCCTGTTATCCCAGACCCGGAGAGCTCTGCAGTGTGCATGTAGCTCTGCTGCCACCTGGAGGGCACGGGGTGCCATGACGAGGCTGAAAATCGGAGCCGGATTTGTCTAGCGGTTCATGTTGCAGAGATGTTCCCAGCTTGCTCATGGGAGACATGTTTCATGGTTGCCCCAGTGCTGGCATAATGCTTTGATAAGATGGCCTTGTTGTTCAGTCATCTTCAGTCGTGTCTGACTCTTCATGACCCCATTTGAGGTTTTCTTGGCAAAGATACTGGTGTGGTTTGCCGCTTCCTTCCCCAGCTCATTTTACAGATGAGGAGACTGAGGCAGACAGGGTGACACTTGCCCAAGGCCACACAGCTAGTAAGTGTCTAAGGCCAGATTTGAACTCAGGAAAATGAGTCTTCCTGACTCCAGGCCTGGAGCTCTATCTGCTCCGCCACCTTGGTGCCTGTACATTTGTTTTCTTCCATATTTCACCCTCTTCTTCAGAAGAGCCCTATGGCAAGTCTCATGGGGCAGTGCCCCCCAAGAAAGGATCTTGGTCAGAGCCTTGTACACAACAAATAGCCTGCTTTTTTCAAGGCCTCTGTGTCTGTAGATACTGTGACCCTCATTGTACACGTTGCCTCACGATGCCCCACGCTGTCCTGCGAGACAAATGTTCTTCCCATTTTTCAGACAAGGAAGTCATCTCCAAGGTGCGGCACCTTGGCCAGGGTTACACTGCTAATAAGCATCTGGCAAAGAATTTGAACCCATGGCTTCCAACCCTCCGAAGGCACTGCTCTTTGCTGTCCTTTGAGTAAGAGCAAGTACAGGGTTGGGGATCAGAAGACCCTACTCTGCACTGGCAGCCTTGGGCACTTAAGCTTTCTGAAACTCCCTCAGTGGTTCATCCACTAAGTAAGAGGCAGCGCTGGCATTGTGTGACAGGTCAGCATGGAGGAGGCTGCACCAGGAAACGATCAGCAAGAACGGAGGCCGAAGCTTGAATACAACACACTGCAGGGGCTGCCTGGCCTGGAGGAGGGGGATGAGGTGGCCGTGGCAGAGGTACCAAGCCCCTCAAGGGATATGCTCTTTGCCAGGACACCATTTGTCTTAGTAAATTTCCTGGATGGGAAGAGAGGGAGAGGTCAAAGGGAACCATGTTTGCTCTTGGAAATGAGTGACAAGAAGCCCTACTCAGGGTCACAGATGGCAAGTGGGGCCTGTTTTGCAGCATAGCTAGAATTTAGCTGTAAAAATGAGGAATCAGATTAACTCTAGACTTTTCCCACATTTTAGAGTGAGGGACTTTTTAGTTTAATGTTCATGAGACAGTAGTAGCTCCAGAAGGGGTATCTAGAGTGTCTCCCATCTGAATACCTAGCTACACCTGTCTACAGACAAGGCCATCTGAAGATAGATTTCCCCTAAAGGGAAATGCCATCGGTTTGAAACAGGCATTAGTTATCAGCAGGGTCTTCCTTGTGTCTACATGAAGTTGTCATGCCACTTAGAGCCTGTTTCTTTTTTTAGCTCCTGGAGGCCACAAAATCTGAGATCAGTAACCTTGGAAGGGTGAGGTGAGGAAAACGTAGGCCAGAGAAGGATGACAGCTTGCTCACTGGCTGAGAGAGTGACTGGCAGACCTAGGCCTGAAACCCTGGTTCTTATGGCCTTGTGGGAAATGACTGGTCCTCTTTCTCCTCCTTTATGGACTCCTGGAGCTTCATTGTGATAGCAGCGACTTTGCAGTCTTGCAGTGAGCCTAGAAGACTTTCCCCAGTCCAGTCTGTCCATTCAGTCAGCTAGAGTTTATTAGGCCTACTGGGTGCTGGGTTGAACTTATTTATTAAGTACCTCAGGGAATGCGTATTCTCTTGAGGGCTTTGGGGGTTTCTCTCTGGGCACCAGGCTGGCTGCATGATGATCGACTTTCTCAGCCACAGAAGCTCGTGAAGAGCCCCCACCAACTAAGGCTTTAATAGGGACTGTCCCGTATGTCAGTGGAAGGGAGACTGCAGCTCAGGAAATCCTGGAAATGTGAAGTGTCAGATTGTAAGCTCCTTGAGAGCAGGGAACTGGATTTTTCTTATTTGTGTCCCTGGCACACTTTTAGTTGAAGTATAAATAAACCATACGTACGCTAGTGATCGTTGTACAGTAATTTCTTGGCCTTTATTGTTTTGTTTTGCTTTTAACCCAATGCATCGCAGTCTTGTTGCTTCATATTGACGAAGGCTGCACAGTGTTACTTAGAGGTGTGCTATCACGCCAGCCATAGGGGGCTTGGGCCTTGCCCTCTGTAGCGTCCAGCCCTAGCTCCTCTTTCAGGAGAGCAAGCGCTGTTATCTTTTAGTGCTTTGTTTATTTGTTGTCTTCTCTCCACCATTTCCACGGGCTTCCAGATGTGGAGCCCGTAGCTGAGCAGAATGCTCTTGGGTAATTGCCTGACTAGTAGTAAATGAAGCAGGAAGAGGCCTGGGTGCTCTATGGGCCACATTCTGGTGGGGCGTTCCAGTGCCATGGTGGTACTGGAAAAAATAACCTCACCGTATCGCTGCCCTGCTGGTTGCTCCGCTTGTGCTGAAAAGGGGCAATCAAGGGAGCCTTGTTGGCAGTAGATGGCATTCTGAGTGTTTCTGTTCCTTTCTTCCTTGCACAGGTCTGGCAGATCCCAGAAAATGGACTCACTCTTTCTCTGACCGAACCCGTGGTGATTTTGGAAGGCCATTCCAAGAGAGTGGGCATAGTGGCGTGGCATCCGACCGCACGCAACGTTCTGCTCAGCGCAGGTACACGCAGCTCTCCTGCCGCCCTTGCTAAAGGCCTCCTCTGGCAGTCCTCCCCTTCCGGCCTGGGCCCTTCTTGTTGGCTTTTGTCTTTTGGTCCATCATCCCCGTCCAGACCTCTAGTCAGCACGGTGCATTACCATTCTCAAGGCCACATAGCCCTTGTCTCTTCTTCCATCATTGCTAAAGCAGGAGGCTGCACAGGGCTGAGGTTTGTGGCCAAGAGAAATTTGTCTCCTGATGGCTCCCCTTCCTATCTGCAGGCCTGTATTCAGAACTTTTCCAGCCTAGGGGAGCGTGCTGCCTCTCCTACTGACACAGCCTAGTAATCTGCGGGCACTTCCAGTCTACCCATGAGGCATTGGAAGAGGAAGAAATGCCTTTTGGTCACGACACTGAGGAACTCTGCACCCTGTGTAGTACGGACAGTGTGGGCAGGTTAGTTAGGAGTGCCTGCCATGTGCCAGGAGACAGAAGGAGGCAAAAGAGCCCTGAATCTGGTAGGGGAGACACACACTAAGCTCCCCTCTCAGGGGAGGCAGCTTTGGACATCTCTCAGTAGACACAGAGGAGATGCAAAGCACCTCAATATAAAGAAGTTTGGGAGAGAAGGAGGGCATGAGCAGGTGGGGAGGGGACTTACAGGGGCATCAGGAGAGCTTTATGTAGAAAATGGTATTCAAGATGCGTTCTTTTTTTTTTCTTTTTTATTTGGTGAAGCAGTTAGGGTTAAGTGACTGACCCAGGGTCACACAGCTAGGAAGTGTCAAGTGTCTGAGGCTCTATTTAAACTCAGGTCCTCCTAACTCCAGGGCTGGTACTCTATCTACTGCACCACTTAGCCTCCCTCTAAGATGCATCTTGAAGAGAGGGATTCTGGGAGGTGGGGGTGAGGAGAGAAGGCCTGCAGCCCGAAGGGCAGCTGCTCTGACTTGGGAGGGGATGCTTTTCGGGGGTGCCCAGGCCTCGATGAGGGCACCACAGAGTCAGAGGGCAGACTTGAGTTCTCCTCCGAGTGCAGCACGCTGCAGGTTGACATAACGTTTGTACTTTCAGAATGCTGAGCCTGATGTAAGAGATGAGGGGTGAGGCAGCTTCTGTTTAATTGAGAGTGTTCTTTTCCAGCGAGGCTCCTGTGTTCTTGCCTGTTGCCCCGTGGGTCTGCTTTTGGACCACCAGCCCTTTGTGTGCCCTCAGTGATCCCCTAATCTCTTACATGAACTTTTGTTCGAATATTTTTTGAAATCTTGGGGGGAAGTAGTGTAGGAGAAAAGTGTATTTTCACCAGTAAGAAAAAGAATAATTGCTAACATTTGTATGTAACTTCCTATGTGCCAGGCACTCTGCTAAACTCTTTTCAAACATAATCTCATTTAATCCTTACAGCAGCCCTGGGAGATAGGGGCTATTGTTGTAGATTTTATAGATGAGGAAACTGAGGGAAACAGATGAAATGACTTTCCCAGGGTCACATAGCTAGTGTCTGAGGCCACATATGAACTTGGGCCTTCCTGACTCCAGGTCCGGTGTTCTATCTGCTGAATTGCTTAGCTGCCCCTGACCTTACAGGAAAGCCCCGATGAGTTCTCCTAAGGTTGTCTTTATCACTGAACCTTGGAGATTCGTTCTTACTTAGGTGGGCAATCCAGGTTAGCAGGCAGTGACACCCAGAATTCCTTTTTTCCAAATCTTGTATGGTGCTTTTCTGTTCCTTTCAGGTTTTACATTATTTTGCTTAATGTTTTTTGAGAAAGACACTAAAAAAAGCCATTGAGATATGAAATGAAGAGTTCATGGTGAAGTCTTGGAGCCCATCCTGGGCTTGACCCAGACACTTGGTCTAAAAAGAGAGAATTCCAGGGGTGGGATTCCCTCCTGACCATTCCCCTGTCCTTAGTGGCCATTCAGGTCAGACACGGGCAGGGAGCAGATGGGTGAGCGTTAATCTGATGGGCAGCAGAAGCCCATGGTCAGCTCTCAGGCCCATCCTTGGACTCCAGCCTCTTTGGCCATTAGGCCTTTAGACTCAGGGCCCAGTGAGCTACGTGGATTCATAATGTGTTGCAGAGCAGGTGGAATGCACGATGAGGAAATACTTTCTGGTCATTGTCCCGTCACAGGTACTCACATCCCCACGACAGACCCTCCAGCTCTTGAGCACAATGACGGGTGCTCTCCAAACGCTTGTCAATCGAGGCAACTCAGGGCTGGCTTTTTCTTGGGGCGTCTGTGCCAACAGTTCCAGACTAATTAATTTTGGGGTTCTTGTGTACTATTAGCCTGCTCCTTCTTCTCCCTCTCTTTGGAGATAAAGATCCTTGGTGAATCATAAATCAAATAGCTGCAAAGATTTTGTCTTGCGTTCATTCTCGGGAATAACTGATCCAAGGACTCATTTGAGAGTGTCATCATGGATTGAGACCCCCTTTCCCTTTGCTGAGTGGCTTCAAATGGTTGTTCAGCCCCTGTTTCCCCTCTCCCCCCCAACACGCACACACATTCTTAGCATTCCAAATTTTCTTTTACTCTGAAAATAAAACTTGCTTTCTCTTTCAGTCATTCAAGAACCCATCCAGCTGAGTTAATAAAAAATTGAGTGATTCAAGGGTTGCTGGCTTCTCCTTCACAAAGATCATTGTTTGTTTTTCAGTCAGTTTTGAGCCCTGAATAACCAGAACTACAGAATTAAAAGTGTTGGGAAAAGACCTTAGACATCATCTAGTTCACACCGTCTGTTTTTACAGTTGGAGAAATAGAGGCACAGAGCCTGGTGATGGAGCTGGCTTTGGCCAGCCAGTCCCTTCCCCTTCCCCTTTTCGGTTCCTGTAACCCTCCTGTTCTGCTTGGGTTTTCCATGAAGTGGGTTCACTCTTTAATGGAAGACATTTCTTCCTTCAGGTTGTGATAATGCCATCATCATCTGGAACGTGGGGACAGGGGAAGCCCTCATAACCCTGGATGACATGCACTCAGACATGATCTATAATGTGAGCTGGAACCGGAACGGCAGTCTGATATGTACGGCCTCCAAAGACAAAAAAGTGAGAGTGATCGATCCCAGGAAGCAAGAGATTGTGGCTGTGAGTACTGGGGGCTGGGGCTCTGGGGCAGTGTTTCGGCCTTGTTCTGGGGCTTGGAGACAAGGGTTCATGGTGGCCCCTCTTCATTTTTAATGGATGTATTTTGCTGTGCCATCAATCATTTCCCAGTAAGCAATCTCCCATGGTACTTTCCCCATTTAAAAAGGTCAGTTAAACTGCCTGGTGTAGTGATGGCAACCTGGCATCATCATAGTAACACAAGTGGAAACCAGCCTGAGAGACAGTCGGACTTTCCTCCCTTAGCGTGCTCAGTCTCAATCCCGTGGGACAGTAATGCCTCCTGGCTTCCCTGCTTCAGGCTGAGGAGACTGTGGATGTCCGAAATGCTGGCCGATCGGGTCACTCAGTGCTCCTTCCTCTCTTATGGTTTAGGAAAATCTTTTAAAGTTTTATTTGTGTCTTGTTTTTGCATTATAATAACTTCTTATGAACTCAGCCTGCCTCCCAGTTGAAACCCCCCCATATCCCCAAAGAAAACCATTTGATAGGGGGAAAAAACCACCCAAACCTCCAGACCCCAGCGGAAGCACTGGTCCAACGTCAATCCGTTTGGTCTCATTAGAGCCATGGTGTTGTTCTTCTGGGACAGTCATGCACCAGTGTGTCCCAGACTTCCTCTGTGTCTCTGAATGCCTCGTTCCCCCAGCACAGTGATCTTCTATTGATTGTCTTTCTGTAGTGTGGTGTGTTTAGATGCCCCTGATTAAGGACCACCTGTTATGACCATTCTGGTCTCTATGGGCCCTTCTTTCTGCCTCTGACACCCTCAGATCCCCGAGTCAAGGGTGGGAATGGCCTAGTGACATTTCTGACGTTAGTTCCAGATTGTTTCCAGAATGGTCGGACTAATTAGTGGTAGTGTGTGACTTTATGCCCGTGTCTTCCCACAGCCCTTCCATTATTGACTGTTGAACATCTTTGCCACATTTCAGGGTAAAGTTGCACTGAACAGAATGAAGCAAAGTAAACCATGCCCCATTGTGAGAGGAATTTAGTGCTATCGGCAACCCTCTCCTCCGTGCGCGGGGGCGGGGGGGCCCAGGGCAGTGCTGGGCAGGCTCCAGTTTTGTAGCTCGGCTGTGCCGCCTTCACAAGGCTTTGAGCGGCGCAGCAGCTCCTTAGGAATCTCGTTTGTAGCTAGATTGCCTCAGGAGTGCTGGGCCGGATTTCTCTCCCCCATCACCCTGTCGTTATGGCAAACTCGACTCTGGCAAATCCCTCTTCTTTTGATCACACGTTCCCCCAGGCAGCTGTTTGGGGAGGGTGTTGTGATTTTTCTTGGTGAATGTGTTTCAGGAGAAAGAAAAGGCACACGAAGGAGCTCGGCCCATGAGAGCCATCTTTTTGGCAGATGGCAACGTCTTCACCACTGGCTTCAGCCGCATGAGTGAGCGGCAGCTGGCCCTCTGGAGTCCGGTAAGACCCTTCCCAGGCCGAATGTTTACCTCTGTGGTTTGTATGTGTATGCCCGGTTGTATGATGGGTGGCGACAGTGGCCCTTCCTCTCACCCTTGACTTAAGCAGGAACCTCCCAAGTCCCCTGCTCCAGCCCCACAACATCTCCAGGAAAATAAAGTCCTTGACATTAGGGACTGTTTGGTCTCCATCCCCCAGCACCTAGAGCATACAACCAGCATTTATTAGCAGAGTTCTTTACTGCAGAAAACTGTTAAATTAGCTGAATGATGAGGCCCTTTTCACCAGCCCTGGCAAAGTGGTCATTCACCTGTGCTTGAAGACCTTCAGTGATGAGGAACTTACTACCTTACCACCAGTGTGGCCAGAGTTGAGCTCTCTGTAATGCACGTGGTCATGGAATTAGAAGGAGCTCAGAAGGCCATCTGGTCTAGCTGGCTCATTTTATGGATGAAGACACTGAGGCTGAGAGGGGGGAAAGGGTCCCAGATTTCAGTCTGATTCCTCTTTTGCATGAGAACCGGTCACATACCTGAAGTCTGCTGCCATCTTCTCTAGCTCAGAACGTGGTGCCTTAACATCAACTGTTAACCTTCTTCACGTTTACTTGCAGAAAAACATGCAAGAACCTATTGCCCTTCATGAAATGGACACCAGCAATGGCGTGTTACTGCCCTTCTATGACCCTGACACCAGCATCATCTACTTATGTGGGAAGGTAACCGGCGCCACCATGCGTGTTGTCACTGCCTGAGCTGGGGCGGGCCCTCAGCGAAGGGAGCGTGAGCACACCTTGGAAGGGAGTGTGAATCTGCTTTTAAAAGCCAAGGGAAAGGCAGGAGGAGGGCTGTGGTGATGCCCACTGGAACAGGCACGTGTCTTGGGCCGTGGCAGCCCCGTGCGTCTTCGCTGCCGATGGTCCCAGTGTGACTGGGAGGGGGAGGGCTCTGTGTGTCACACGCAGCGCAGGAATCCATCGCCTGGCCCTCGGTTAGACAGCATTTCATCCTGTTGCCTCAGGAGTTCCTCTTGAGAATAACGTGTGTGCATGGGTGGCACCACAGTGCCCCAGGGACCAGCCAAAGCCACAAGCATTTAGTGAGTGCTGTGGCATGCCAGGCACCGAGCTGGGCCCTGGGGGTACAGAAGAGAGCGGCCTTGCCTGAGTGGAGCTGACATTCTGATGGGGAAAGGCCACGCATGAAGAGGAGGAGCTGAAAGGGGGGCAGGGATGTTGAAGGTGACCAGACGCACAGGGCTGCGGTCTGGAGAGCCAATGAAGGGTGGCTGGCCTGAGCTCCTCTCCAAAAATGGGGGCGCCGAAAAAACTATCCAGTGAGAGAAGGGGTCCAGCATGGGAGAGGGTGAGGAGACCCCAGGCACTGAAGGAGGCGTCAGGGTGGAAGTACACAAAATCAGAAACACAGCCAGAGGGGAAGGGCCCTAGAATGGGAGTGAGCCCTGGGCCTGGAGTCAGGAAGATGTGAGTTCAAATCCCACCTCTGCCACTTATTAGGTGAGAGACAGTGGGCAAGTCATTTCACTTTTGTCTGCCTCAGTCTCTTCATCTGTAAAATGGGATGACACCACCCACTTCTCAAGGTTGTTGTGAGAGTCAAGTAAGATAATACATACATAGCACTTTGCCAACCTTAAAACCCCGTACAAATGGGAGCTGTGATTATTACAGTCTTGTGTGCCTTCTGGGTGAATCGTGACTCTTCTTTTAAACCGGAAGAAATTAATTCTTCCCAGCTCCTCCAGATCATTTCTTAGTGTCAGCAGCTCCCCTTCTGTGGATGGTGGTTGGCGGCTCTCCGTTTCTTCCTTTTCGCAGTGACTGAGCATGGTGCAGAAATTGGCTTTCATTTCTCAGGGGCAGCAGCTGTTTGTCTTTGGCAGATAGTACATGGAGAAGGCTCATTGTTATTACTAAGTGCCTGTGTCTGAACTTTGCTCCCACCGACTTCACCAGCCGCCTGGCCCAAGATGAGCAATTTCTCATATGTCTTTATGATTTGTTGGGAAAGTATTTCTAGTTCTTTTTGAAAGTATTCAAGGTTACTGTGTGCTAGGCACTGGGATACAAAAGAGAGAGTGCCTGCCTTCAAGAAGCTGATGGATGGAAGGAGGAAGACAGTGGGTAGAGAGGAGCCAGCTCGGGCCTGAGGGTCAGGGCTGGTGAAGGGGAGCCTTCTCTCTTCCTTCCTCTGTGGCTCTGGAGCCCTCTCCCCTGGGATCCTCAGCAGCTTTATTCGTGTTGTCGGGAGCTCCCTTCTCTTCCCTGTCCCACTCTTGCCCTCATCACCATCTGATTCACTTTTTGGTTAGCCATACCAGCTGCTTAGAGGCCAGCGAGGGGAGTCCCTGCTCTAAACTTGACCCACAGTGTGTCAGTTTCAATAAGCTGAGCCTCAGTTTTCAAATCTGTAAGATGGGGGTGGTAATGCAAGTAAGTCACCATTAGTTAAGAGAGGCTGATCTGTTGATTGTGCTCCTGGGCTTCCAGACCTGGGGTGGTCTGATCATATTCCGCCCATCTTGAATTTTTATTTGTGCGTTGATGTTTCATCCTCTTTATTTTGGAAGTCCCAGATGGGAACTGAACTACAGTACAAAACTGTTGTCTTGGAATCTACTGGCGTGTGTAGCGTGGCAGTCATCCCGTGCGCTGGCCAGGTCGGCCTGTGGGAGATAGCAGTACCCTTTCTTCTTTCACCTGAAGCACGTGGAGACTGCGCTCGCGAGAATGTCGGTGCTGGTGCAGTTTAGCGCCACCCTGCACATGAATCCCTGCCCCTCCCCTTCCAGGGATGGGGATCTCACTGCCTGAGGATGGGACTCTTGTGGTATCTACTCCTGATCTCCATCCACCGTCAGCCCTAGGCTCAGTGGCCAAGCAGGACAGTCCCTCTTCCATGCTACCAGCCATGATTGTCCTTTTCTTTTTTTAAGACAGGAATGTGTCCCACCCTCAGTTTCCTGTCCCACAGGCTCCCAGTCAGTGCTGCTTCCCATCAGCTCTTCTGCGGCCTGGTTCTGAGCCTCTTCCCTAAGGACTAGGCCTCGGAGGACAGGCCCGGGCTGCCATGGCCCTGGAGGAGAGGAAGAAGTGGCAGCCCGCTTCCCTCGCTTGTGTTTGCTGTGGGCTCTTACCCACTGGTGGATACAGTGAGCTGTTTTTGCCTTCCTGCAGGGTGACAGCAGCATCCGCTATTTTGAGATCACAGATGAATCCCCCTATGTCCACTACCTCAACACTTTCAGCAGCAAAGAGCCTCAGAGGGGAATGGGGTACATGCCCAAGAGAGGGCTCGACGTCAACAAGTGTGAGATCGCCAGGTGAGAGGCGCTGAGGCACGTGTTGTCCCGTGCGGTGAACGGCTTTCCAGGCTTCGCGGGCGGGGCAGGTGGTGTTCTTTCTTGTCTAAGCTTGGTTAATCACACGTGAGAGCTTTGCTCTGCCTCATTGGTTCTCAAGCATGAATTCACCAGACGTTGAGTACTAGTGACATGCCCAGGGTGCTGGCTGAGGAGGATGGGATGAGCCACGGTCCTTGGCCTCAGGGTGCTTGTAACGGCCAGCTAGCCAACATTTACGAGGCGCCTACTGTGTGTGGAGCTCTGGGCTAAGCAACTTACAATGATTATCTCTGGGAGGTAAATGCTGTAATTATCTCCATTTTACAGGTGAGGAAACTGAGGCAGGCAGAGGTCAAGACCCCAGTCTTGGTGCTCTCTCCATTGTGCCACCGGCTGTGGTTTTGTAGTCAGATGAAATAGGGACACTGAAAACCATGGTACATATTCAGGCGGGAGGTAAAGTGGGTAGAGGACCAAGCATGGAGGCAGGAGGATCCGGGTTCAGATCTGGCATTTTACACGAGGTGTGTGACCCCGTGCAAGTCACTTAATCTCTTTCTGCCTCAATATCCTCGTCTGTAAATGGAGTTCAGAAGAAGGCCTCCTCCCAGGGTTGTTGCGTGTGTGAAGTGCTTTACCAGCTTTACAGCACCAGATACATGGTAGCTCTTTGAATAGAAGGTGAGAGAGAGGGGCCTAGGTGGATCAGACTGGCTGAGCTGAGGGCGTGGTTCTAGATGCCATCGGCAGAAGAGGAGCCAGTTAGATGTGCCTGGCCTGCTGGCCTGAACCCTGGCCCCATTTACTTTCTGATGGCATCAGCTAGCGTGACCAGCTGGACCCTGACCACCTCAGAGCAGCTTTGGGCTGGAATTCAGGATTGAAAGCAGGGAGCTGTGGGCACAGAGAGGCCTCTGCCTGTGTGGGAGGTCCAGACGGGCTCGGCGGGAGGCACCTCGCTGTGGTCACACTAAAAAGAGGGTCACATTTCTGGGCGTGGGGCTCACTTGTCAAACAGCCATTGTCCTCGTCGGTACCCGGAGCAGTGCCACCCCGCATAGAAGTGTTGTTTTCTTGTGCCCCTTGTTAGCCATCGGTCAGTGCAGGCTCCCCGTATGCATTGCTGGGGGTGACCCTGGAGAGCTCTGGTGGTCAGGGTGATGAATGACTTACTGGGGCTTTTTTGACCTACTGTGTGTGTCTGTAAGCATCAGGAAAGCTTGAGCAGGCACAGGGCTTTGTAGAAATCCTGGATTGGGAGCTGCAGCTCCCCCCCTCCCCCACTTACCGTCTGTGGGATGGGAATGGCGCTGCCACCAGCCTTGCCGCCCTCCCCCCAGCATGGCGGGAGCTCCGGATGGAGTGTCAGCCTCCCTTTCTTTAACATCCTTCTCTTCCTTTCTTTGAAGATTCTTCAAACTTCATGAGAGAAAGTGTGAGCCCATTATCATGACTGTTCCGAGGAAGGTAAGGGGCTGTTTTCCAGGCAGTGGGGGTAAGATGCCCGCCCCACCTCGCCTCTCGGCTCACCTGCCTTGCTCTCTTGCAGTCCGACCTTTTCCAGGATGACCTGTATCCAGACACAGCAGGACCCGAGGCCTCTCTGGAGGCAGAGGAATGGTTTGAGGGCAGGAATGCTGACCCGCTCCTCATTTCCCTGAAGCACGGCTACGTTCCCGGAAAGAACCGCGACCTCAAGGTGGTCAAGAAGAACCTGCTGGACAACAAGCCCTCGGTCAACAAGAAAGGCAGCCTGATGGGCCCCCGAAGGGCGTGGCCGACGGCGTGGGCACCGTGGTGAGTGAATGGAGGGGGCCTGGCCGGGCTGTGCGGGACAGCCCCCCCCCCCTTAGACCAGGAGGGCTGGGCAGGCCATCAGATCCAACACCCCCATTTTACAGATGAGGGAGCAAAGGCAGGCAGTGGTGAAGTGAGGTCTTCCAGAGCCCAGGCCTCAGAACTAACCAGCGTCTTTGTCAGGCGTCAGAGCCGCGGCTTCAGTTGAGTCGTTCTGGTGACTGGGAGGCGTGTTCTCTTGTGGGAGAGGTCTGAAAGGAGCTCTGGTTCTCTCTCGTCTCCTTGGTGGATGAGTGGGTGCAGCCCCTCCCCCACGTTGCCCTGCTCCATCGGGTTCTGGTGTGACTAACGAGGCGCTGGTCACCCCTGCCTCTGCGAAGCGGGAGGCTCTAGGAGAGTGAGGGAGCTCAGGGGACCAGCCCCAGCTACCTGAGCCCCACAGCTGCACTTCTCATTGTTGCCATGAATCCCGACCAGGTGCCCTCTTTTCTGCGGGGACTTTGCTCCCTCCACCCCTGCCTGCCCACCTGCCCTCCTGGTAGCTCAGTCATTGACAGACCTGCAGGTAGGCTGTGGCCACCCTGGTGAGAAACCTGATTACTGACATCCTGGTCTCAGAGACCTTGGGGGATGCAGAGCCCCTTCCCACCTTTGGGAGGCCTTGTGGGAGAGAGAGCAGGAATGCAGAAGGAAGAAAAGGAATATGAATCCTGAAGGTGTAGCTTAGGTCCCTGTATCTGACAGCCAGATTTGGGGGGTGGGGTGCTGTTAGAAACCCAGACACTTGATTGGGATTTACTCCTGAGTTCTGAAAACAATTTTCCCTGTGTTCTCATCCTAACCTTTAAAGACTTAACCGTAGTCATTGAGTTTCCACAAGGCCACAGGGACCACTTGAATTTCAGGAGTGGGGCTCTTTCCCATTCATGAGATCATGTTCCTAATACTCACTTGTGGTCAGTTGCCCTTACAAGCTTCCTTTTTGTCTTCTCCTTCCTTAGCAAAACGAAACCAAGTTGGATGAGATCCTAAAAGAGATCAAGTCCATCAAAGACACGATCTGCAGTCAAGACGAGCGCATTTCCAAGTTGGAGCAGCAGATGGCAAAGATAGCCGCATGAAGGCAGAGGAGCCGGGAAGGTGGGGGGGAGGCGGGAGGCACTGGGGGGAGACTGCCAGCCACTGGCCGCGCTCCCACAGCTGGCGCCAGGGAGCCGCCATTTAAAAAGTGGAGCTTTTTATCAAAAGCCTTTCTGATGTTTTAAGTGTTCCGTGACTGTTTGTTGAACTTAAAGAAACAAAAAAAAAGTGCTACTTTTAAAGTTCCAGATATTCCGAGTTTTGGAAGCCAGACCATTCAGATTCAGTGTTGTGCCCAGGCCTCTTTTTATTGTTATTGTCGTTGTCGTCATTGCAGAACAGGGACCAATGGATGCCACGTCGCTCTTTAGAGTTTGTTTTTTTAAACTTGCCAAAACCAAAAGGAGCTTTTTTTCCCTCTGTATTTTGCTACTTTGCAGTATTTGTGTGTGTGTATTTTTCCTTAATTTGAAAGGGACAGCACTGTGTATGTTTATAAAATGAAGATAAAATATTATTTTATATAAACATTCATCTTAGAACAATCAGAGCAGAAGCCACTTTGTGCTGCCTCATCTGTGGCATGAAGGGAGTCAGACTTTGCAAAAGGAAGCCCTGAGCGATCCTGAGGGCGGCCCGGCCTGGCCTCCCCCACCTGGGTTTTCTTGTTTCCTTTAGGGTGAAGCCGGGCCGGATCCCCTCATCTCGCCTCCTCTAGACGTCGGGCTGCTGCTGGACTTGGCGTTGGGTCGTCCCGGGCTTTGGGCTCTGGGGAGGCAGCTCTGTCCAGACTGGCCTGGCTGCTGGCATCTTGGCCGTTTCTTACTTGAAGCATCATGTTTTCGGGCCCGGGGCTAGTGCTCGGCGGGCGGCGCCCCAGGACGAGGACGTGGGCCGTGCTCAGAAGGGGAGCGTGGATCCTGTAGGCTTGCCTTTTCTCTTGTTTCCCAGTCTTGCTCTGATGCCATGCCAGAGAAAAAAAAAAGATTGTCTTTCCACTAACAAAGCGCCCTTCCCTTTGTGAAGTCCACACATACAAAGTGACTGTACTCAGGGCCCCCTCCCCCCGCATTCTGTTTCCCCTCCCTCTCTATTTCAGACATATTTCCCATTAAGCTTCTGAGACCCGTGGACAGACGGTGCTTGGTGCATGTTGAAGTGAGTGGTCTGTGACAGACAAGAGTAGTAAATTGTCTGGGGTCCAGGCGGGCCCCTCCTTCAGCCCTTCTCCCACCTGCAGCCCTGCATGTGCTGGCATGCCCAGCCTTTCCCAGGGGGGCAAGCGTCAGGCTCCCTAAGCCTCGGGGCAGCTGAGGCCTGGGCTCCCATTGTCTGTCTTGTTGTGTATAGCTGAAGGCTTCTGTGGAAGGCCTGAGGGTCTCGGGTTGGGTGGGGATGGTGCAGGGAGCTTCCCTGGCCCCTGGTGTTGGTGGGGAGAGAGCCCTGGGTCTGTGCAGGAGAGGGGGATGGGACTCGGCCAGGCTGGCTATGTGGCTCTGGAGCCTCGTGGAGAAGGCTGGCCCCAGAGGCCGAGGGTGAGGAGATGTGTGGAGCGAGTTGGCTGCCGAGAGCTGTGTGTTGTTCCATCCAGTCTTCCGGACGCTTCCGTTGTAAGACTGGGGCACAGACCTGATTGCTGATAGAGGCAGGGTGCTAGGAAGGTCATGCTGAGGCGGGAAGAGAGCAAGGAAAAGTCGTTCTGATTGTCGTTTGTTGCTTGTGTCTTATTGAAGTGAACGGATGCCTAACCAGGCACACACAGTCAGTGCCTGAAGCTGGGGGGTGGGCAGGGGGGGTGGCTGCTTTTTTTTTTTTTAAAGCCGTGATAACCCAGAGGAGAACCAGTGAATTATCCCAAGATCGGCTCTTATAGAGCGGCCATAGTATTCTGTCAAATATTTGCTTCCATTTTCAACGATAAAATCATTGATTACACAATTGTCTCCGTGTTTATTTCCTGCCCCGACTTTGATTTTGAGGCTGCTGCTCTCTTGGGGTAACTGCACCGAGAACACCGGCTGCACTTCTCTTTTAAGGGTAAGTATGGGGGTGGGGGAGTGTGTGTGTGTGTCTGTGTGTCTGTGTGTGTCTGTGTGTGGTGCCTCAAACGGCAAGCAGCAGCAAAGTCAAGCGGATATCACCTGGGAAGTAAGTGGTGGCTCTTCTTTGACCACAGGGGTAGGACTGAGGCTCAGTGTCCAGGGCCTTGCTGCTCATCTGGCAGTGGGGAGAAGGAAGGGATGCAGTGCAAATCCTACCTCTGACCTTGGGCCTCAGTTTCCTCATCTGTAAAAATGAGGGGTTTGGACCAGAGCTCTAAGGTTCTCACAAGGGTCCAATGAGAAGAGGACCGTGTGCGGTTGCTTTGTTCTTCCAGAGGGCCAGCCAGTGCTTTCCATGGAATCTCAGAAAAGTTTTCCCCCATCACCCAATTTGTTGTTTTTGGTTTTGGTAGGACGAATGTCGGTACAAAGGGCGACGTTCTCAAATATCTTCTCAGGAAAGCATTTCACATGTCGCGTGGGTGCCAGGGCGGCCATGAGGGAAGGGTCAGGCAGGACCAGCCGTCCCCCTTGGGACTGTGGGGAGGTGGGGGGAAGGCTGGTCCTGGTTTTGAAGCCACTGGGCTCTGTGCCAGTCAGCAGTGTCTGAGGCGGGGAGGCTGCTCCTGATCGGCAGCAGACGGTCGGGCAGACCTGTCTGGGAGCACTTCCATGTTTCAAAGTTTATTTCCCTTGCTATGTTTAAAATCGTCATCTATTAAAAGGCTGTTTGGGTTTGCTTTTTAGGAACTGTTAACTCCAGGACCCCCTTAACCAGACAGTGTCCTAATAAAGGCAGTGAGTGCCCTTGACTCTTCAAATGCATTTCCCCCCAAATCGATCAGTACCATCGGATCAATCGCAGGCGACAGGAGTTACCTAGTCCCGCCTCATTTGAGAGAGGTCTGAGATGAGGAAACTCAGGCCCAGGAACTGAGCTAATTTGGGCCACCAAGGTCACACAGGTCGAGAGGACTGATGACCTCAGCAGGGTGATGGCTTGGGAGTGAATTGGATTTAAGTGAGGCAGGGCTCTGCAAAGTCACCAGCCTCACTCTGTTCTCCAGGGTCGTCAGAGTCCTGGGGCAAGACAGGTCAGGGCGATTGGAGATGACCCTGGATGCAGAGGGAGACCTCCCTTTGTCTGAGGCAACACCCATTCTGTGATGAAGGCTGGGTAAAAAATGAGACAAAAGGTGGCCTAGTTTGCCTACTCAAAAAAAAAAAAAAACTTGGGAGGGGAAGACCCTCAGGGTTTCTGGCCAGAACAGAAACAATTGCTATTTGCATTCACTGAACCATCTAAACCTAAACCATGAACCAGTGAGGCTTAGGCTGGGGCCCATCAGTGAGAGCCAGAGTGATTTGGGTTTAAAGGCATAGTCTTATAGCGCCGTTTGAATCCCAGTGGGTTTTATCAAAGCCTAGTTTACCAAAGCTGTATTTCAAGAAATCATGAATGGGGGCAGCTAGGTGGCACGGTGGATAGAGCACCGGCCCTGAAGTCAAGAGGACCTGAATTTAAATCTGGCTCCAGACCAAATGCTTGATACTTACTAGCTGTGTGATTTAACCCCAATTGCCTTAAAAAAAAATTATGAATGAAAACTACATGAGACAAAAGAGTTAATTGTCTCAGGTTTTTTTTTTTAATAAATAGGGAAGGGAAAAAATCTAGCCCCCAAACCCCAAGATATCTTGTGAAATACAAGCAATCAAAACCACATGAAAGGGTATGCCTGCCCACCTGGACAGATGGGGGGAGGAGGAGGAGGGAGGAAATAGCAGCCTTGCCCAACTGGAGCTGGCCAGTTGGGTCCCAGGGGGCAGCTGCAAGTCCTAAGTGTGAGGGCTAAGGGGTGAATTCACAAGGCCTCTGGCTCTTTCCTTGGAACCAGAGGCTCATAGGAGCCCTGAGGTTTGTACGTAATAGAAAGATTGGGTGGGAGGGAAGATGTCAAATGTAGGTAAGCAAGAGAACCTTGGAATCCAGTGTGAAGAATCCCAGTTTGGCGCCAAGACTGTTGGAAGCTCAAGAATTTTGAGGAATGTGTTAAGATTGAAATTGGGGACAAGCAATGACCTTAGAAGAGGCTGTGTGGTATAATATAAAGAACTGAGATCTGAATCTCTTCGCTGGTATTACCTTTGTGACCTTGGGCAAGTCATTTAATATTGGGGGGGGTCAGAGGCCGACTAAGTGATTTCTAAGGTCCCTGCTGGCTCTATATCCTATGATCTTGTGAATTTGATGCCAAGTCAAAGCCCCTAGATCCTAGAACAGATCCTACATGTGAGGCTGGGAGAGTCCTTAGAAAGTATCTTATCCAATCTGCACCACATTTTAGAGGGGAAAATGGAGCCCATGCAAAGGAGGGAAGTGATATGCCAGAGGTCAAGCGGTAGAACCGACAGCCACTCACTCAGGTTGCCACAGGTTGGGATGTAAAGAGGAAACATTGGCCTGGGATACCGGCTTTTGAACAAAAGGGATGTGGGGCAACAGATTTTAGGAGAGTAGAAAGGGAAGGTTACCCATTGGGCAAGGGAGTGAAAAAAGATAAGATTTGCTAGAGGGATAGTGTTGCCGTCTCTGTCCTAACATGCAGATGAGAAAAAGGATCTAGTTCAGATGGCTGGTGCTGAAGGAGGAGGCCACTCAGGAGGAAAGGGTTCCTGGAGTGATTTAGTGTCGCAGGTATGTCCCACCAAGTCCACATGGTACACTACTGTTACCAAATAAGTCTGCCACAGCACAAATTATAGAAGTAACACCCTAGGTTTTATTACTCGTGAGCCCAGGGGAAAATAACCCCGGGCAAAGATAGGAATTTCTGATAAGCCTTTATGAGGAAAAGGACAGCAGGTTGGAAAATGAATTCTTTTACATACTGCAGTCTTGTAAATTAGTTCAGGCTATGCAGATTCATAATCCCATGTTTCCTTTGGTGTCTTTAAGGTTGAACAAATTAGTAAACAGTTACAAATTTAAGTACTGAGTTTGCAAAATCCTACATTTGCAAAACTACAAGGCTGCAGTTTTAAAGAAGTCACAATGGGCCAATTGAGAAGAAGGGAATTTACTTGTCAGAAAAATAACCAAAAGCTTGGTCAGGGAAAGTCTTTTAAAAAAAAAAAAAGGTGCCATATTCCCTTCTTTCTCTCCTCAGGAATGTCAAAAGTCTTCACTTAATGCCATCATTTCATTTATCAGGTTTTAGCCCAATGATGTTAATACTTAGAGGAAACAGACTTCAGTTATCGAGTGTTCCAGGAAGAATGGTATAATAAATAAACATTGGATAGAAGGGAAAATTATCATCATATTTAGCTCACAGGTTTTTCTACTCTAAACTGTAGCTAGGAAGGATAAGAACCGTGGGTGGTAATAACTGACTGATGTAAATGTAACTCAAGCTTGCAAAGTGTTTATTTCAACCTCGCCTACTTTTTGAGGTATATATTTACAGGGCTATTACCTCAATTTACAAGTAATGAAATGACTCATAGATTGTGACTCTTAACTATAGTTGTGCAGTGTTGGAAAAAGGATTCAAATCCAGATCCACTGACCAGTTACTTTGGGTGGGAGGGTCAAGAGAAGAAAGCTCTTAAAAAGAACCAGCTGGTAGATGGGAACAAGTAAGAAGAGTGTTTGGTGAGAAGCCTCAGGCTGGAAAGGGGTCACAGGGCTGTGGGAAGTCTCTTTGAAAGCTATTCAGCAGTAAGCAGATTCCGTGGAGATAGTGCCTCCTGTTTGCTAGGGCCTGGGCTTGCAGATGTACTTTGTTTGATGAGTACTGCCTTTAGTACTCCAATCCAGAATCTCTGGGGACAGTGACTTTAAGGTGCCTTCAGAATGGAGACACATTTCCTTATCATTCCTGACTTCTGTCCCCTCTTAATTCAGTCTGGAGGGTGGAAGGGAGGGGGAGATGGGTTTTTGATGTTCTGAGCTGGAATTTTCAATAATGCATTGGCCCCTTAGAAGCAATTTTATCAGTTATACCTAGTTGTAATTTTCATAGAACTAGCTTTCAGGTGCTTTAGATTAAATTGGGTTTTGTGAGTTGACCTGGAAACCCATATGGCATTGTTCCTATGGATGAATGTATTATATAGTGAACAATTTATTACACGCCAACTGTGTACCTAGCACTGTTCTTAGCATTGGGGAGATAGAAGTTAAAAAGCATTTATTAAGCACTTACACTGTGCTAATGGGGTGTGTGTTAGTGGTTGGGGGAGGGCGTTAAAGGCAAAAGACAATCTCACAGTCTTAACGGGAGAGACAGAACTGTATGCAAACAGTTTAGACAGGTTAAAAGTTGGGGATAATCAGTTGCTGGCATTAGGGGAAATTGGGAAAGGAACATGGGTTAGCAGATAGCATATGTGGAGGCCAGGAAAGTGTGAGAAGGCTGGAAAGGTAGGAGGGGCCTGGGTTTGGAAGGGCTTTAAAGCCAGAGAGGATTTTCTGTTTGCTCTTGGGGTGATAGGGAATCACTGGAGCTTAATCCGCATGAGGATACAAAGAGCCAGGGAGGGCTGAAGTATAAGAAAACTACGAGGTGGATTGTATTTCATAGGAGTTTGAAGGAAACTCGCGGGTCATTTCATCCCTTTATGATACCCAGTAAAATATGAGCCCCCTGTAGGCAGGGACTCGAATTCAAATCTTTCTATTTCCAGTGCCTTTCACACTGGAGACCTTTAATAAAGTTTACGTTAAATTGAGGCACAAAAGGAATTTGAAATCAGATCCGCATCCAAACGTAGCAGTGTTTCATGGGGATTTCAGATGTCTGCTATTATTAAATGATGTATACCATTTGGTCATAGGAATCAAGAAGGGGGAGTTCTCCCCACCCAGGGGAGCGGATTGTTGGCTTGGAC